ATTTCGTTAAAAGACATGTTTTAGGATTGCCATAATTAAATGTTATAGAAATGTCGCCTACAAACCTTCTAAATTTCCTGAATTTTGACGTCACCGATCAAAAGAAGCAAGGAGAAATAAAAAGGCGCGCGCGCGCGGAAAATTTTTTTTTCGCAATGCGTTTTTTTTTTTTTTTTTTTTTTTTTGCGTGTCTATGACTACAACTAGAGTTCCCCAACCAGACAGACTTCTGTCAAATGTTTACTTTTAACTAGAGTTCTGTATAGGCTCCCCACGGGAGCCAGAGTTGCGCATTTGTTTTCCCCGCTCCGACACGCCGCTATTCGCCGAGACCCATCACGTGAGGAGCAAAGCATCCGGTGGCGTGCAAGAAAGCCACCTTTACGGTCGCTCCGCCGACGTTTCTCTTGCCCCGGCGTATGTTTCCCTGCTTTCCGCCTCCTTTTCCTCCTCTCCTGTTTTTCGTGCGCGGCGGCGCGCGCGGCGCCGCTATTCGCCAAATTTAGTCACGTGAGGAGCAAAGCATCCAGCTCGTGCGGGAAAGCCGGCGCTACGGCCACGCGCCGAGGCTGAATGCGCAACTCTGCCAATGTAGGTAGCATATACAGGAACTCTAACTACAACTTGCATCGTTTTAGACAATAAAAAAGAATACGACCTTTTGGGTGTCGGTGCCCCTTGAAGGACGTCGAAAGATCCTCGAACAAGGAGGATAGAAGCGTAGGAGAGGGCATGACGACAGCCGTGTAGCCTCCACAAGCCATGCTCCCTTGACGCCTCGCCTCTTTCTCATTTTCCTCCTTACTCTCCTCACTTACCACGCCAACGTGACCACATCACGTGACCGTAGCTAGCCTTCGTCTAGCTAGGGTAGTCTAGCTATGGGGTACTACATGGTGAAACAAAAAGACGCCAGGCTCTTTAAACCGACCGGAAAATTCGGTTTCTTAAGCTATCGCGCTACGACTTTGTGCAGCGTTGCCCACAGATGGTGCATTTTTTTTTCTTGTAAAATTTGCGAAGAGCGAATTTACCTGAGGAAAAAGTAAAGAAAGAAAAAGGCTTAGCTCCTATGGAAACGCAGCGACGCCACCGGTCTGCAAACAACACGGCGCCGTTTCGCACGGGAGACAAGAGATGGCGCAACAAACGCCGCCAACGTAACGCCAACGAACGAGCATACGGCGCCGGCCTTTTTAGCAGACGATCTTTTCGACTCAAAAGCGGCGCGCGTTCCGCAGGCGGCAACAGTCGCAGAAACAAAAAAGACAGGCGCGGTAACAGCAAGGAACTGCAGTTCCTTGTTTGCAAAAGGGCCGGCTCTCGGCGTCGTCTGCTCGTTCGTTGGCGGCAGTTGGCGTCGCGACCGCTTGTCCAAACACGTTATTTGTGAGCGTAAAAAATGCATGCCTTTCGGCTCTCTTCTGTTGTAATTTCTTTTTGACAGCTGAGCGCTTTGTCATTTGTCATGCGGCGAATCGCACGGAGCCGTCAAAACTTATAGTAAAAAACAACAAAAAAAAAAAAAAACTAGAACTATACAGTCAAGTCGCATTCGTTCTGTCGCGTGCGTACCCAACAAAAATAGTTTATAGGTCTTTTATTGCTTTTTCTTTCTTCTTCAAATGTGGTACAATGCTTTCTCAATGACCTAGGGAAAATACATGCGCCATGAAACACAAAATACAGAGAAAAGACGAGAGTTTAGCCGCCAGCAGTGTTTGAAACTGCGCCTACGCAGGCTCCGCCTATCGAAATCACAGTCCACTTGGTTAGGGTTAGCAGGGACGCCGGTGAGAGTCTAGCCTCAAACCCAGTGACTGGGCTCGAAAGCGGTTTGCTGCACCGGGGGTCGAGCGTTTCTTGGAAAGGTGTATATTTACGGCGCAAAACGAATTTGTAGTTGGCGCCCGCGGGAGTTACCACTGGTCACGTGGTAGGCCCGCGCGCCGCCGCGCTATGGTGGCGCTAGAAGTTGTTGCGTTGCACGTTGCAACGCGTTGCGCGACGCCGCTTCAACCAATACCACCCAGATGACGTCACAACAAGGCGTCTGGGTCCAAACAAACCGTTGCTAGGGGCGTTGCTATGGGCCAATGCATGGAGACTCCATATGAGGCTAGATTTTTGCTAACAAGTAAGTAAATAATTTTTTGTAAGCAACCTAACTTCTTGATATCTAATTATGAAAATGTTCTTTCCGTCTCAGTGTCGTATTGCAACAATGAAAGCCATTTCTGAAGTATTACACTCCGCTTTGCTTTGGTAGCAGACGACACGATAGATTTGCTGGCCTTTGTTGCAGCGGGCGTCTTCATTGAATTGCATCGGTAAACAAGCGACAAAAACAAGTGCATTGCAGCCGTGGCCGTAGAGGTTTCCGCCATGTGCGTTTATTTTCTGTGAAAGAACCCAGCTTAGTTCAGAGGGGTGAAAATGCCGTAAAATCAAACACGTCATGCATATCATTTACGACGACGACCTGAAGTGCATTACCGGCGTAGTGCACGCCAGCATGAGAAACAAATCGTACGCCGTCAAGGTAATTCGTTTATTATTATTATTATTATTATTGTGGTTGCCAAGTTATTTAAAGAATTCCATGTCTATCGCGATTTTTCAGTAACCATTGAAGCGATGGTTACAACCAGGTACGACGCACCCTCACATAGCGCGAGTCCACAAACAAAATTTGGGATCTCGACCGATCGCCATAAGTGCTTTTATCACGGGCCCAATGCGATCTTTTAGCAGACGATCATCTCGATCGACGCCCGGACTTTCGATAAACCATATTTTGCATCGCACCCCACTATGAATTATTTTAAGGTACTGAAAATCTTTATATTTAGAACAAATGAAATATTAGAATATCGTCCTTATTCACACGATTCAAACGACGGCGCCGGCTTGGCCTGCCGGCGTGTGGCAGCTAGACGGCATACTTCTTGCATTCGTCGTCTGCTGCAGGCACCTTGAGGACCGGAAGTTGCAGTCGTAAATATTTCAGAAACAAGCGATTACTAGCACACTTCTGTCGAAACATATATGACATTCAAGCTTTCTATATCTGTGGTTTTTAGAAGTTTCAATCCTGCTCCTGATTTTTGAACGGTCGGGTTTTCGTAGCGAAACCTAGCCACATGTATTTGTCCATAACAACGACCCTAGCAACAGTTTGTTTGGACCCATGACGTCACACTTACCTCCGCGCCGCCGTCGCCACCGCCCATGGAGAATAGAAGGGTAGGAGAGGGCATGACGTCGGCCGCGTAGCCTCCACAAGCCATGCTCCCTTGACGCCTCGCCTCTTTCTCATTTTCCTCCTTACTCTCCTCACTTACCATGCCAACGTGACCACATCACGTGACCGTAGCTAGCCTTCGTCTTGCTATGGGGTACTAGAAGACACCACAGTCTAGCCTTCGATGTGATAAAACCTACCGGACGGAGCGCGCGCAAGCTTGCAAAGAGTCTTTCTACAATCAACCATCCATCTCACACGTGACATGTCACGCGCACCAATCGCCAGACAAATCTCCGGTCACGCTGGGCACAAAATCGTTTAAACTTTTTATGACTAGGCTTCACCAATATTGTAACGTGCCCCCTCCTAGTACTTCTAACCTCCTTGCCGCCGCCGCACAAGCTCGTCTGCTTCGGGGCGCCGCCGCCGTCATCTGACCGGCGCACAGGCAGGTAGGTCTATCACGTCTGCTTGCGCTTTTGCAGGAGCTTCTTTTAGTTTTTCTTAGTTTTAGTTTTGTTTTTTGTTATACTTGAAACAAAGATAAATAAGTTACTTTTAGACGCCGTACGAAGCTTCCGAAAGAGCGCAAGCACCACGTGATAAATAAGGGCCAGTCACGTGATAAATAAGGGTCACTTTTCCGCGGCGCCGGCGAGCGCCAACTACAAATTCGTTATAGAGTATGATCTATATAGCTCTAAATTTTTTTTTCTTCGTTGTAATATCGTTTTATGACATCCTTTTCCCATCTAAGCTGTCAAAAAAAATCAGTTTCATGCACTCTACACCGTATAGTTATATATATATATATAGTGTCACAAAGTGTTGTGTTACCGGAAAAATAAACTAGGCATCGCCGAACGCTCATTCTCCGCCTAAAGGTAGAGCTAGTGGTCACAACCAGATGCCAAAGTTTCAGCCCGATCCGATAACTTAATCAAAAGTTATCCGATTTTCTGAAAATTTCAATGGGAAAATGGAGCCCATTTTTGCCAGTTTTCGATTTCTGGTATTATAGAGCCCCATGTGTTTGAAAACACCGTCGGCCGCCATTTTCCATTGAAATTTTCAGAAAATCACTTATAGTTTTGATTAAGGTATCATATCGGGCTGAAACTTTGGCATCCGATTGTGACCTCTAGCGCTATCTCTGGGCGGAGAAAGAGCGTTCGGCGATGCCTAATTTATTTTTGCAATAAAAAAAAAAAAAAAAATTTTGACACCTTGTAGATGTGTTTTGTGCTCAGAACGAGCAAACTTGCTTTAGGCAAAAGTTGATACTAAAACCGCAATTTTGCTACGGACAGACGTGAAACTAAGCCTTTTTCGTGCCAATGTAAATAAGAAACTTGCTGGTATTTAAAAAAAAAAAAAAGTAAACAATATTTTTTTTTTGGTTTGCCTATGAAAATTTTTGAATTTCACCGACTTGTAATTCAGAAAAGCTGAACTCCGTAGTGAGCCATAGCAAACCTACGATTTTCAGTCAAGACTCTGGACCAAGTCAATTTACTATGGTAACACATCTAACCATACTATCGTGGCAAATAACGGCGTCGGTGCTCGCAAAATTAATTCTTACAATTCCCCCAAGTGGATAAGGTCGATTTGGCCCTCACTGTATCCAGCATGTCATTTCTGGCTGGGAGAGCAGAGGCTCGTCGAGCAATGCTGCACTGCCTCTCTTCCGTCTGTGCCTCGCCCGGCAAAGAGAGGAGGCAAGGTCAAAGAAAGTAAAGAGGCGAGCAGAGCAATGAGAAAACAGACTTTCGTCCTTTGGTTCTTTATTGGCCCACGACGAGGAAAATCTCCCTCTCGGGTTGTTGGGGGTCGAGTGGACGGAACCCTCACTCCTTCATGGACTCCTCCGTCGGTGCGGGGGCCGGACCCCCCTGGTCTCCATCCCCCTTGTCCTTCTTCTTCGAGCCGGAAACAATGTCGTCGATCCGCAGCAGCAGGATGGCGGTCTGCATGTGCCCAGGGGTGAACACATCAACACCAAGGGCATGACGCCTTGAACCCACCGCGGACGCTTTGCAAAAAAAGCTTTTTCAACATATTGCACTGCGATTTACTACGCGGGTGCGACAAGATGGTCCGGTTTGGGTTGTCTGTGCGGCATTCACAGACGACATCGCGACCACGCTTGCCCGGTCTTTACGTGCTTCCGGGAGACGAAGAGAGCCGGCGCGTGTCTCTCCGACGTACAACTCTAAAAGAGCGGTGACTCGTTAGCTTTAAAAGAGCAAACCAAACGAAAAAATTAATTGAATTCCTCTTGGCTCCCCATTTTTCGTACGGAGGCGATTGGTCGGGGGGCCGCATGCTCTTGTGTTACGTGTTGCGCCATCTTCCGGCAGCATGTGCAACCAGCCGAGCATGGTCGCAACGCCGCCTGCGAATGCCACCGCAGGTCGCCCAAAATGTTTTTCTTTTCTTTGAACGAGGCAAGTTCATCTGTCGATATTGTCACTCCCAGCTTCCAGCACCTAGTCCCCCCCCCCCCCCCCCGAATCGAGATATAACAGATGCGCGTCAACACAGAGACAAGAATTGGCGGTTCCTCGCAGTATCCAGCAAAACCATCGAGGCACCATGCGTAACTGTTCACTACCGTTCAAGATTTAGCGGAGGTGCAAAGATTATTACATGGTCACGCGACGTCACAATTTGTCCTCTATATTTAGGGAGGAAATGCTTCCCACTAAATATTTGAGGGAAAATTGTGATGTCACTCGCACACTATGTCACGATTTTTCCGTATGGAGAATGCTTCCCAAGACTTCCCTCTGCTTTGCAATGTTGCACAAAGCATTTATGTGCTAGTTTTAGGGGGAGATCTGCTAGAATTTGACAAGAAAATGCTTTTGCGATGTCTGTGTGAGGCAGCACCGTGATCCCCACGAATTTAGTGAGCTGCACCGTACGTGCGCCGCCGCAAAACCTCGGTAATCGCTGCCGCCGCCATAAAAACAAACAAACAATATTCTGGACCGGCGTACAGAGTCGCAAGGAACCTTCCGAGGCCGTTCCGAGTTGCGAGGAACTTCACGACAATCGCAACTCCACGAAACTCCCTTGTGCACAGAGATGCGCAAAAAAACAAACAAACAAACTCCGGCATTTGAAAATGCCAGAAATTTTCCGGGGTGAATCGGGCCTGCCCCTCACCTCGAGGGCAGTCTTGTAGGCCTGCAGCTTGACCACCAGGGGCTCCCAGACTTGCAGCTCGCTTGTGGGCACAATGTTGCCGGTCTCGCCGTCAATGCTCCAGTTCACGTCGTCGCCCGAAGCGTGCTTGGCCTGCCAAAAGAGACGGGTCGGTCAGCACCCCCAACCCAAACTAAGGTGTCCGGAGCGTGTCTCCAACAGGGGCCACGTTCTCAAAAGCGGTCCCTCGATTTCGTCCTGACGCAAAAGTAGGGAGTTTTAGAATAGTGCACGCTAAAGCTTTGCGTACGCAAAGAATAGCGTCGTCGCCACTGCGCATGCTTCGAACGCAAACCAGGTTTTGCGCTTTGCGTGCGCTATTTCTAGGAGATAGAGTGCGTACGCAAAGAGTCTTTGCGCTTCTCCAAGGAGGATTCATGATGAGAAGTTCGCTAAAGCCAAGACGAGCACAGTTAAAAAGATGGCGGCTTCCAGCATTATGTCGGCGGTTGCTTTGGCGGCGTCGTGAGTGCGACGTCGGCGGCATCCTCGCGACTGCAATTTTCAATGCATTCTCGCATTCTCATGACATTGTACGTGGTTTGGCAACGACCCCCGGCAACTTGATGCTTGCGACGCACAAACATTTCTCGGCACAGGTCAGTACGCGAGACCTCTCTTGCCGAGGCGACGCAAGCGGACACGACTTGTCAACCGCTCGCGTCGCATTCTCATGTTTAAACAATTCTAAAATAGTACTATGAACCAAAAAGCTTTTTTTTTTTTTTTCTAAAGTTACAGCATTTTTTGTGTGAAATAAAAATTGCGACTGTATCTTGGTGGCGTTGCAAGCGCGAGCTGCTTGGGCTTTTGCGTCGCGGCGGAGAAAAGCTATTCTAAAACTCTCTTGCGTCGCATACGCTAATACAAGCGCTAAATTTAGCGCTAGCGTGCGCTAAAATTGCGTACGTTATTCTAAAACTCCCTAGTGTTGCAATCACGGCGGTGGCATGTCAGCGCAAAGGGACTCAACAAGAGCCGGGGACGCGGCGACGACCGCGAGCCCCGCTTCCGCTCGGCCTTTCCGCCGGCGTTTCTATGACCAACCCGCTGGGATCACAATTTGTCGTCGCCTCGGGACCGCTTTCGACGCAACACTGTCAGAAACCCGTTCCGGGGACCCCGGCAGAGCGTGCGCTCACCCTGAGGGCGGTCAGTGCCCGGATGGTGTTTGCCCCGCAGTTCTGTACCAGGGTGGCCGGGATGATCTCGAAGGCCTTGGCCACAGCGCGATACGGCCACTGCTGGACCCCGGTGATGCTCTTGCCCTTCTCTGTCAGGTGCTGCACAGCAGAAGGAAACGGGTGCTCCGTGCACTCAACCGCAGAAGCTGTGCGCCGTGCGGCGGTTTGGTGCATGGACACGGGCTGGTCGCGCTGACCGAGCTTGTTCCACCTCGGTCGGTGTTCCCGCAGAATTCCGTAGAAAGCGAGCAGGGGCTTAGAGACGCCTCTGCTCTAAGCGAGGTTAGACGCCTCTACTCTTTCAAAGCAGAGGCGTCTAAACCGCCTCCGCTCTTCTGGAGCGGAGGCGGTTTAGACGGCGGGAAGTTGGGTTGGCTAGGAGGAACGCCGCACAGAGGAAATTATACCACTGGCTCAAGATGTTTGACTCGCGTCGTATGGCGGCTGTACACACGCCCGTACGACGCTCGTCTAGAACGAGACGGGTTCTGCGGAGCCCGTCCCGCCGAAAAGGTCGAAGGGTCTTCCGAGGCAGGCCGCCACTTTTCCGACGACCCGGAGACCGTAGAATCCGTCAATACGCGAATTTGAGAACGACAGCCCTTTAAAAAAACAACTCGTTGTACGACAACACCAAAGAAAACTACTTTTCTAGGGGTTGCGTCGCAACGCGGGACGCCATCTATGCAACGAGCCGCTCGAAACGCCGACGGCCGAGACACTCCCGTGCTTAGTCTTGCCCTAATCGGACAGACAGGGAAAGGGGAACGGGATCAAGGCACTCACGTGTCCCAGGGCCATCTCGACGGCGCCCCCTCCGGGCACCAGGCGGGGCTCGAGCATCACGTTACGTGCCACCGCCATGGCGTCCTGCAGGTTGCGCTCCACCTCCTGCAGCACGTCTTTGGATGCCCCCCGCAGCAGGATCGTGCACGCCTTGGGCTCCTCGCACTCCGTCAGGAAGCAGAAGTACCTGGACGGGACAAACCCTCAGGCACGCTCCACGGTCGTCTGCTCCCGGCGCGTTCCGGCGCTAGCCAACCGTCCTTCCATAAAACCCCATATGCAACACCGCACGCGTTCTGGGACCCAGTTGGCCGCGGAGAGAAGTGGTTTCCGCCGTTCACAGAGATGCTGTGAATCATACCAAGCATCCATTAAATTTTTTTTTTTTTTTCCCTAGGTGTTTTGTAGACATTTTGGTCGTATAATTTTTTCGACTTCCAACCCAGCTCCAACAGCAGCTGTCGAGGTTTCGGCACCGGCCCAAACCGCACGTAGCGCTTGGTGCATGCCCGACTTTCGTCGTCGAGCGCTCGAAATAGTCTCCTGGCGTCTGTCGCACGCCGAGCTTGCCCATTTGCACCACTTTTGCCCGTAGACCCATTCGTTGCGCGTTTACTGCGTCGCCCGACGAAAAGACGATCACACGGCAGCAATAATTTGGGTGCAAGAAAGGACCCACTCACTCCTCGCCGATCTTCTTGATTTCGAAGAGCCCTGCCTTGGTCCCGACGTCCTCTTCCTTGAGTTCGTCCGTGCGGTTGGCGATGGTGGCTCCGCACACCCTGCCCGGGAGAAATCCAGCATGTGCTCAAAATGCAATGAGCCAATAAATGGCCCTCTTTGCCGAACTGACAGCAACAGACATTAGGAACGTCGATTCCTCTAAACATCTCGTGGTGTCCGCTTCAAAGAACAAAGCTTGCCTTAGCTCCACACTTTCCTTCAAGATACTACAATCAGTCGGGTTACAAATAGGATTCCACTTTTCGGAGTTCATTTGTTATAAATTTCGAAAAGTTTTTTTTTTTTCTTTTCCATCGGGAATTCAGGCATTACCGGAATTTATTTTTGTTAGATTCCCAATTCTTTGAAGTTGGGAACTTAATTTTAACATGTTCCAATCTTTTCAAATTCAATAGTACGAAATTTAAAAGGAAATGGAAGTGGTCTTTTCTCAGAACCACTGACCTTATGCTCCCATTAAATTTATAAGTAAAACATGGTCTTTGCTGACTTTGGTCTGGCTGTCGCAACCTCGAAATTTCATGTTTTTCGGATAAATCCGAATTGAAAAATCCGAATTGAAAAATTTTAACGACAAGTGCTTTTTGAATTTATCCGAGAACACGGAACCTTAGTTTTAAAGCAGCAGCTTGACACTCCTTAAAGCCTCGTTGCTATGCTGCCAACGCAGAAATATTTCCCCAAAGAGGATTCGGCGAAGCAGCAAACTCACCTAGCTATCCGGTTGTTGTCAGACTTGCGCACGCGCCGTACAACCGAGATATTTGCCTTCATCAAGTAATGCTGAGCCAGATCTGCAGAAGAAGAGGATTCATGAAAGTGCGGCAAGTGCTACCTTTACAAACAATATACCAAGTACTCGAGCCCAAGCCCATTCTCTGTGTGTTCAACGTAACAATGTGACCACAGTGACGAAATACACTGTGATGAACGTGACCGTCAAACGAATAAAGATACGTGTGGGCCCAAAAGTCACAAAACGACGGCTATCGCAAACGTTGGAGCTACCGCATATTCGATTTCCCGTAAGCCATTGCACCCGTGCAGACCAGCAAAGTGCATAGAAAGTGAGACTGCTGCAACAAGCCTCACGTTGAGGGTATAGCTTTGTTTCTTAGTTGCGAGGGTCGCACGACGAACGTCTGGCGGGATGAAAAGAGAATCAAAGGTGCGGCATTGCGAAATTTTCCACTAGCCTTCGACACGTAGAGCAGCTAAGGAAGTCAAATTTGGGGGTTTTACGTGCCAAACCTACGACGGGCATCTGGCACGCCCCAGCGGAGGACTGAGGATTAATTTCGACCACCTGGGGATCTTTTGACGTGCAACCGAAAGGTCGGTTACCACGGCGCCTTCGCCGCAATAAGCCTCCGTCATATTGCGGGCACCTCGGTCAGGATTCGAACCCGCCGCCTAGGGTAGAGCAGCCAAGGGCTGGTCCCGTTCTTGCCAAAAGACGTAAAGGTAGACACTAGAGGTGACACACACCTCTACGTCTATTGAACTATCTAGAGAGATGATCTCATGCGCGACACTGACACTGTAATATTACACGACGATGTCGGCCTTTGACGTATGGACGCCCGAGCGAGGGGAAGAGCCTATAACGGCTGTCGGCGGAGAAATTGCCCCTTTGCCGTGCTGGCGCGGGCAGCGGTAACGCAGGATGGGACCTGTTACCGTGGACACGGTCTGAAACGCTGGCAGAAGGAGACTGCCGAGGAGATTGGCGAGTGCACCGTTGCACTTGGAAGAGGAATCTGATGCCGCTTCCTTCGCTCACCTCGCAATCCTGGATGAGTTACCCATTGTGTAATCTTGCCCTGAATTGTTTCTTTCGCTAACAATGTATATTTTTTTTCTTTTTTGTAAACAAAACAATTTTATTTTGTTATCTCCATTCTTTTTTTGTTTCGCACGAATGTACTCGGACATGGAGGTCACTGAAATCGGGGAGGGCAAGCAACAAATGAAGTTGATTTCCCTCCTCCGTTCTCCTTTGTCACGGACCTCCTACGACGTTCGGGAAGGACGAGCGTTTGTGCGGTGTGCATAACGGTGTTTCTAGAGGTGGGCGATCATGCTGTGTTTGGGGAAACATATTTTGGCAAAAAAGAATAACCGGGTGGGCGACAACTCGGGACATTACGGGAACACATCGGCTTCGTCCTATCTACCGGCACCTCCTGCACCGGTGCAGAAAGGTGTAGGGCGGAGCACTTTTGGCGGCAACTCTGCGTTCAAAAGTGGACCCACCGGACACGCCCTTCTCCGTGATGACAACGTCCGGCCTGAGCTTGATGATGTCGGCGCAGATCTGCTGGATGTACTGCTCCTCGATCTCCAGGATCTTGCTGAAGTCCTCCTCCCGCAGGATCTCTATGTTCGTCTGGAAGGACCCAAGGGCTCGCCGGTCACCTTGGCTCAAATGCAAAGCTTAGAGCGACGCACGGTCCAGGTCCTCGACGTTCTGGGGCTTTGCCAGAGCAATATGCAGTCTGATCCATAGACATCTTTTTTAGTAGTGACATTCAGCAAAGATTACAAACTGGAAGCAGCGTGGAAAAAATACACAGACGAAGGGAGGAATGGACAGGACGAGCGCCGAACTTTAACAGTGTACTTTTCGGATGCTGCTACCAGTTTGTAATCATGAACCAACTCGCCTGCACCGCTACATTGATTCAGCAAAGATTCGGGAAATATGCACGGTTGTTAGACTGACTAACTGATTTTTGTTTTATTTCTCCACAAAAGATGTTGCAGTGCCTAGTAGAACAAATTAAACAAAAACTGACGTATCGCTTGCTAAATGATGTGATATTTTAAGGGGGACATGGGCCTAAATTTCAAAGTTTTTTTAAAAGATTAATTTCTTAAATTTGAGGTTTTTGGTTCTAGAAACTAATTATACACCCTTACACTAAACTTGATAACCATACGCCAAATACTTACATTCATATAAAATATTTTCAACACACTGTGAAGCAGTAACTAAGTAAAAGAGTTAAATGTTTGAATGCATATTTCTCAGTTCCACTTTTTGCTGCAAATTTCATACGAATGAATCTCGTGTTTGAAGGTAAAATTATTTCAGTTCAGGTTAATTAAATTAATCTGAACTGAAACTTACTGGGGAATCAGGCTATTCATAATATACATAGGACAGGTGTGCATCTCATATTTTGAGACAACTCTTCCTGAAATATTTACATTTGAGTTATAAAAACTACATAACCCCAAGACCCACATCTCCCAATTTATATTCAAGCAGTCAAAGTAATGTTTAATAGCTTCATTTGCATATAATAGATTTCTTTACGAAGGGTGACAGATTTTCTTGTGTAGGTATGAGAAATTGTCCTAGAACTTAAAGTTCGCACAATACACCTACATTTGATGTTAAATCTCCCCTGCAAATTTCATTCTGATCCCTTCAGTAGTCCAGAAGTAAAATCTCTAGCCAGCGTCCCCCCTTAAAGTAAAAGTTCATTAGTGCCATTTTTGTGTGTGTATTTGCAAAATGAGTGACTTCAGTAACGGCATGCGCAGGTACACGGTGATCTCTGCTACGCTGTGCAGCTGGTTAGTTTTTTTCGAAACTTCATCGATGCAAGTCTGCAAATGCATATATTACAGTCAAACCCGGATATATTGAATTCAAAGGAGATCATAAAATAGTTCGACATATCAATAATTTGATATACAAAAATATGTTAAATTAAGCTCAAGTTGAAATTTCCTGGCGTCTGCTAATACCAAAGTTTGCGATAAACGGGAGCTCACCAAATAGAGCATTCAAGAGCCACTAGATACAGTAGAGCGTAGTTGGCGGAAACCGCAAACACCGCCGCGCTTACACGCGCACCTGGCCGGGACCTTCACACAGCATAAGCGACAAAACACACACACAAAAACAGGAAATGTGAGATGCACAAAAAAAAAGTTAAGCAAGCAACAGAAAAGAAAGCTCAGTAAATTCAGGAAGCAAAAAAGAAAGGGAAAAAGAAAAACTGGGCAAAGCAATAACGACAAAAGAAAAAGGTAAACAAAGATAAGGTCTTCGAAGTGCGATTGCACAACCGAAATGCGATGATGATCTAATCATTGTGTTCCACCACTTCCAGCTTTGCGCCTGTTTCATGAGTGGTAACTTTGCTTCACCCCCGAGTTTCCCATGAGCTTCAAGTCGTTCTAGAAAGAGTTGATTTAGTGGTTGTCGATGACACTCTCTAAGTTTCTAATTAAAACCATATGTCTATTTTCACTAATTAAGAAGTTAACTAACGGATTTTAATTAATTTGCCGTCTTATCGCAAACATAATCCCCGACGTAATGTCCCCCTGGCCTGTATAACTCACCTGCACAAACCGCTTAAGTGTAACATTTTTTTTTTTTTTTTTTAAACAAATCTGTAAAGCTTGAAAAAAACAAAAAAACACCCTGTATATATCTATGCAAACAAATTTACGGAACACATAGAGAAGTATGTTTCGGAGACAATTTCACTAATCATTTACCAGCAAACGACTTTATGCAAACCGTTGCAAAATATACCGAAACGTGCGCCTCCCATGAGCTTCAAGTCGTTCTAGAAAGAGTTGATTTAGTGGTTGTCGATGACGCTCTCTAAGTTTCTAATTAAAACCATATGTCTATTTTCACTAATTAAGAAGTTAACTAACGGATTTTAATTAATTTGCCGTCTTATCGCAAACATAATCCCCGACGTAATGTCCCCCTGGCCTGTATAACTCACCTGCACAAACCGCTTAAGTGTAACATTTTTTTTTTTTTTAAACAAATCTGTAAAGCTTAAAAAAAAACAAAAAAACACCCTGTATATATCTATGCAAACAAATTTACGGAACACATAGAAAAGTATGTTTCGGAGACAATTTCACTAATCATTTTCCAGCAAACGACTTTATGCAAACCGTTGCAAAATATACCGAAACGTGCGCCTTGAAATGTGGTTAAAGAATGCATATTTTCGCGTTTGTTATAGGGGCTTTGACGGACGACGTTGGCTCCGAAGAGACATCTTCCAGAACCGACATAGTGAGTAAAACAGTGTTGCTCTATTGTGGAGCGTACAAAGTTGTCCTAACTTAAAACCATGGAACTAGGAAGAATAAAAAAAAACGGACGACACAACACAAAATCTCGAGAGCAGACAAGATTATTCAACCACACCAAAACAAGAAAAGATCAAGAAAACAGAACATGACGTCGCAAAGGTCTGACCACACGTTGCAGACAAGCTAAATCCTTACAACACTAGGCACACTTCCGACAACGAGCACCCACCGACAAGCACGCGGAAAGATAATCTCAGTCAAGACAACGAGAAGCGACCAACGTCCTAATCTCAGAGTGTTAGATTATACAGTTTCCTAACCATCCATCTCATTTGCGTGAAATTACTTCTCAGAAAGTCATACTGTCCCAAGCTCCGTCTCATCTTTCTGTTTCCTTGCATTTCCTCCTAAGAATAAGAGGAAATGCAAGGAAACCCCGTCGCAATTCGATAGAATTGCAATGGGGCTTTGAACATGTTTATTACTCAAACGCTGCTTCTTGTAGTAACACATAAAAAGAAAAGTGTTATTGTTAGGCATTTCAACAGCTTATGTGGCAATTAAAACGTAAAGATGCGAGTTGAGTCGACTACACCAGTTCTACACATGGCCGTTCTGTTTACAACCATGTTGTTTTCAGTTAACAGCCCAGCCTGCTTGCCCCTGGCATAGTGCGCTGTCTGCTTTATCTTCTCTTGACCAATAAATTCACCGCATCTCCAAGTGGTAAATGATGCCGATTGGGGTGAAGCTCTGGGGGTGATTGCCTGCACAGACGCTGAACCGCAGCATGCCGAGCCTTTCGTTCGGTTTCATCCATGTCAGAAAGAGAATGTGCGGTATGGAACCACACATTCTCTTTCTGGCGAAGGGGAATATCTCAAATACAACTACAGTAATGGAACCAGCCTTTGACCTATTGTAGCAGGTTCTGTAGCAGGCCAAATATTGGTTTGCAGCAGGTGCCAACACCTGTTAGCACATCACTTGAAAATGACCAATTGATAGCATCGCTAAACGAGTTCATCTTTGAAAATGGTCGAGGGTTCCTCTTTGATATTGGTAGTTGAGGCAATCATTTCCTAGCGGCACTACCTGACTGACTGTTCGGACCCACCTGGCTCTCCCCTTTCTTGTATTCCAGGTTGCAGTCTAGTAGAACAATGCGTGGCTTCTCGATCCTCCTGCAAGGGGAGATCGAGATTTAATGCGTCGCAACAGAAACAACACACTGCCGCTTCCATCTCCCGTTTGCTCGGTGCACGTGGGCCGTAGAGACGACCTCAGTCGTCTCGCTCTCCGTTCCAGCCAAGACGGAGGGCAAATATTCTCGCCGTTCCAACCGCAACGAGAAAAGCATCCAAGCCCCTAGAAACCGTCGCCACGTCCGCAAATCACAAGCGTGCGCATCGTTTGTTAGCACCTCTGTTCTCCTTCCTTGCTAATTCAACCACGGCACTTTCCTTTAAACGAGCGGGCAGCAGTCTAAAGTTGGAACGCGAACCAGAGCAAGCCGGATTGTCGGGGTCACCTACCTCTTCATTTTTGGATGCGTGACGTCCTTGTTGAGCATCACTCCGCGAAGGACGCAAGACTCCTCGATGGAGCCTCCGGGAATCTGGGTTTGAGAAAAGATATAAAAAGAGGAGCAGTCAATTTACGGCACAGTCAAGGTGATAGCCAGAACACCTCGTCGCAGCCTCGTGCATTTCGCACGTTCGAGGAGGAACCGTTGTCAGCATCTGCTCAGACAGTTGCACGCCCGTGTATGTCCCTAAAACTGTCTAGACTGGCGGTTCTCGAGCGTGGATGTGTCGGAAACCCCTCGGGGACCCGCTGGAGTGATGGGGGACCCATGCTAGCCAGAGAAATGGGGTGGGGGAATAAAGCGAGACAACAAAGTGGAGCATGAAAAAGCTCATCCTTTACCGTTATAGACAGGAGAAGTGAGAAGCATCGAGTGAAAGCACAAATGAATGGATAGATGGTAGCGGCTGTACACTTTATAATGGGCAGTAGCTCGCGTCACCTAGCCAGAGCAAACAAAAACAAAAACAAAAAAATTTTTTTTTTAAAAGAGGGGGAAATAGGCGAAGGTTTTGCGGAACCCCACTTGAGAACCACCGATCCAGACAGACGGCGTTATGCGTCATCGCGTGACGCCGCAACGTCGCGCGACACCGTGCCACTGCCATGACGGGTGCCTCCCATTATTTCGACCGAGAAAGAGGCCTCATGAGCCACCGGCGTAAAAAAGAGCAAAGAGGGAGCGACGCACCCTCTCCACTTTGGCGTAGCGCTTGATGTCGATCTCCTTGCGGCCGTTCTCTTCCACGCACACGGTCTTGACTGCGTCCAGCGCAATCTTGCAGGCCAGGTCCCCCCTGCCGAGAGCCAAACAACACTTGCAGACGGCTACTCTCACGTCCCATGCACAGAGCTTCGCAAGAACACCCGAGACGGGCGGCAAATGGGCGTGTGCGCTACGCTCGCCCCAAGAGGCAAGGAAGTTTCTCAAAGGCCGACGACCGGACACAAGATTCTGCAAGGCAGAAGATCCTCCTCACCCTGGGGGAGGAGGAAACAGGCAATGGTGGACAGGGTAGAAGGGGGAAAGGAGGAAGCGGGGAAAAAGCGGAAAGCGCGAACTGTTCGTCGGTCTTTAAGAATAACTAAGGCACAGCAAAGTCTGTCGAAGGTTTAAGTGAAGCGGGACGAGCCCTTTCAAAAAGGGTCTCGCACTCGATGGCCCTCCTCTTCACTCGCCCCCTCTACAAGGATCACCCTGCTCGAACGGAGGGCATCAACCCATGCAGGTATGTAAACTTGTCCTAGAGCTGAAAGTTTGCACAGTACACATACATCTGAAGCTTAATCTCCTCTGCGAATTTCATTCCGATTACTTGAGTAGTTCAGAAGTTCGACCTCTACCCAATGTCCCCCCTTAATCCAAAAAGTTGTAGTTACTAAAGTTTCAGCACGAAAAGAATTTAGTTGCGGAGACAGACAGTAAGAGAATGGCAAGGCGTCACTTTACGACGCGCGGCGTGCACCTCCACGTTAGAGGCGGGACGACCCAAGGTGCAGTTTCGTTCCGTTGGCACCCGGGGCGTCCCGACTGGGGCGTGCCCGAGCACCGACAGAAACGATCCCGTCCACCTACCATTTGCTGATCATTTTTGTGCCGATGCAGCTCTTGATGATGTTCGTCATCTGCTCCTCGTTGTTCACATCCACGGGAGTGCTGCGAGTGAGCGAGGTCAGTTTAAATGATGCACCTCGGAACTGCACGACGCGAGAACGTCGCTCGGTCGACTACAACGTACGCCACGAGCGACTAGGGCTAGGAACTTCGCTCGAAAAGGAGGGTGCAGGAGATATGGCTCGCGTCTCGTTACGACGCTTGCCAGATGGCAAACGACAGAAGAGGGATTGCCATATTGTCTGCCACTTTAGACCAGTCAGACGTTCTGAACGTACTGCACCCCGAGATTCCAGACAGTTTTCTAATGCTCCCGATGTTAAAGGTAGATCCACACGATGGACCGAATCGCGTCGCTTGATCCCTGCGGTCCGCGCCTCGTCCACGTATGCGCAGATCGAAGTGGCCGGCAGCCTTTTCACTCGCGGATTTTCGGTGGGCGATCGACTCTTAAGAACTATTAGTCTGGCAACGGTACGACGTTTTCCTCGTATTTGGGTGAGCAAGACAAAGATGGTGCATCGTTGTGTTTTGTGCATTTGCCGGTTCATTTTGTCGGACAATGATTGATTGCATGCGCGAAAGAAGCTGCAGAAACTTTGATTGGGCGACGCGACGCAGCTTACGGTACTTCTACGTGTTCGTGTAAAGAAAATTCCGTCAAAACTTGACTAGCACGCTGCCATCTTTTTTGCACGTCCCAACGGCCTTTCGTCTGGCGAGACCTTTCTTGTGGCCGTGGTGTGCCGAAGTGTTGCGCGGGGTGTGTAAAGACATTGCCCCTCAGCGAGCCCGGTACTCAGTTGCTTCTACGCCGAAGCCTCCTCGAACGGGATCACGTTAGTGTCACTGTCGTGCCTCAGATTAGAAAAGCTATTGGTGCTTCGCACTAAGTCTATCATGGTGTCCAGTCTCGCTCCGTACGTAGCAGTGGCACGCGACGATTCTGTTTTCATGGTAGTAACACGACCGTAGCGGCGAACGTCAACTTCGCTCTTGGACCAAAGTGCCAGAGTGCGACGTGAGAGTTTCGCAGCTCCGGGGGGACGCGAACAGCTACAGTCTGTCCTCGCCATCGTCTGCTCGTCGCCTTCTTCATATGGATGCGCATGGGAGACGCAAGATTTGGAGACGCGTTGTCACGCGATCGATTCGTCCACGGATCAGTTGGTCATGTGAACTGGCCTTAACCCAGTGCTGGGGCGGAGCCTGGACTACCTCAGAATACCATGCATCCGCCCCCATTCCACATTAAACGCCCATTACCAAACTTGTGAGATCTGAGAAAATATGCACAGTACATTTATATGTAAAATTGACTACCGGACAAGCACCCATCCCCCATTTTTTTGCGATTATCTCCAAAGTTTGAGTGGGCGCTTGCCCGGTACTTTATAGTAGGAAAGAGGAAAACAAAGGCAAAACCGCTCGTGCAATCTTTTTGGGGGCACGAGTTCCGAGACAAACACTCTGCGTACCCCCTCGAAGCGGCCTCTAAGCAAAATGGCTCGCCCGCCGTTGCGTCGACTTACCTGATCTTGTCCCTCAGGAGGGTCACAATGTCCTCCAGGGCCTGGCGGTAGGCAGCGATGATCACCGTCGGGTGCATGTTCTGTTCCAGGAAGGGCAGGGCAGCCGACAACAGCTCGCCAGCTGCAGAGGAGTTCCAACAAAAATTGACACGAGCTTCGTTGCGCAAATCGACACGGGGAGCGCAAAATGTGTAGAGTGTAAACCGCACGTCTCTTCTAGACGGACAAAGGATCAATTTCTCCGCTAAATTCGGCGGGAAGACATGCAACTATCAAGTCCGTCGCTCAAATGCCGGATGCGAGCGTCACGCAGCTTTCACTGAAAGATGGCAATCTCTGCCGAGCTCCCGGAGGCCGGCCACCCACCGAGAATGATGACCGAGGTCGTCCCGTCCCCAACCTCCTCGTCCTGAGTGCGGCTGATCTCGATCATCGACTTGGCCGCCGGATGCTGAACCGTGATCTGCACGAAAAGGGGAAAAAGGACGTCGGGGCAGACGACGGATTGACGCCTCAATGCGGCAAGCCGGGCCGGAACGTGGGCCACGACGTGTGACCACTCAGAGAAATTTGTCGGCTCTTGTATTCAGACAAAAACGATCAGAACGCAGACTTAGTGCAGGACAAATGTGGGAGGAAACATGGGCCCCGTGCCCAGATGATGCATGAGGGGGCAACGACAAACGCCGGTGCGGAAAACAAGAAACCCAAACTTACCTCGCGCAGGATGGCGTTGCCATCGTTGGTCATGATGATTCCTCCGATCGGGTTCATCAGCATCTGCAGAACAACGATCGACGTGCAATCAATTACGGCACTCTAAAGAGAACGTTTTCAAGAGTTACCCGTTGCAGTGACGCTGCCATCACTACCTTTTACTCTGGTTCACGGCAAAAGCTAGACGGCCAATATTAATATCGCTTTCCCGTAACCGGGTTGATACGTTGGCCTGCGGCGTGTGCTAACCCGCACCACCGTGCACATCGTTATGCCGCCGCAGCCCCCCCGGTGGCAGCGCTCGTGACCACATCCGGTGGTTGCACATAGTTTGGAATTGGCACCGCTAGAGAGTGTGGCACTGGCAAGAGTGTGGCACTGGCACATCATTATGGAAACTTACAAGATGCAGTGCCCCATAACTGATTTATCTACTCCACTCTCCCCTCTCTCTCCCCCCCCCTCCCTCCCTTTCCCTCCCCGAGTCGAAGATGAAATAATGAAGAATTGCAGAATTGCAGCATATCTAACTCTGTTCACTTTGAAAGTATCTAAGCAACTATAATGTATTCAATTTCATTATTTCCTTACAATACTGTCAGCTCTGTTTAGGCGATCAAGGAACACCCCTTAAGGCGCATTCCCACCGGCGATATAAGCAGTCGCGCGATGCGACTAGATCACATCGTAAAAATAATTAGATGGTCACACCGGCGTGTACGATGAGCGAGTCCAACGCCTTCGTTGGCGAGTCGCTTCTTGAAAACTCTAGCTCCGAATGCCATTAAATGGCTCATCCGCTCCGCGACTAGATCGCATCACAAAAAAGTCGGGCCGAGAAGCGACTGCTCAAATCGCGTCGCTTTTTGCCCATGATGGTCGCTTTTGCAATGAAAGTTATCGCGCGACTTGATCGCATCGCCGGTGGGAACGGGCCTTTACTTTCCTGAATTATAGGTAAAAAAAAAAAAAAATGCCTATAAAAACTGAAGGTGTTATTGAGGGGCAACTTAAATGGTACATGCCCATGTGCAGCCTAAAAAAACCAAAACTCAAATTGAAACGTATTGTCCCTCCCTCTCTCTCTCTCCCTTCTTCCCCCCCGTGTCAAATGTTTTTCACCGCCATAGCAAAAACAGGAGTTGGATTGATCTATTCCAACAATTAATCCATGCAATAAAAAAAATTGTTATTAGTGTTATTTTTACAAATCGCATTAACAAGCCCGATAAAACTAAAACACAACAAAAACTAATTAGCCATGAAGCTCTTCCGAGTAAAATCAAACATTCGGCTCGTCCATGAGGGAACGGCAAATCCCCCACCACCTCGCGACAATCAGGCGGTGACTCGCGCCGCCTACCGCGCGCGCAGAGAACCAACGCGAGCGACCGCAGCGGCAGCAGACGACGGGGCAGCGCAACAAGTGTCGGCTCGCGACCGCCAAATCGTAGCGCACCGCCGCGGCAGCCCACGTCCGTCCGGCGCGAGCGTTTCGGGACGAAAATACCGATTACGAAGAAGAAAGAGTAGATGAGGGTACACGGTGCGAGCAACTCCGCAGCAAGCGCGTGCAACGAGCCACCACAGTCGGATTCCCCGTTGCCACGGTGACGCCCGAGTGATGCTGCTCTGTTGCTGCTCGAGTCGGAAAACTGGCGGCGGAAAAAGAGGTAAGCGCTTTCGCCGGGCTCGCGCGGGAGAAGCCTTTAAACGCCCAAGTAAAAGAGGAAAAAAAAAAAAAAAAAAGTCTCGTTCCTAACGTCTTGACGTTAGAAATGCGCTGGAGGCAGACCTCGATTTAGAAACGCGGATGAGCGGCGGCGAAGAGCAGACGCGAACCCCGACCAAAGTATAGGAGAAAAAAAAAAAACAAAAAAAACGACTACGGTGCTGAGTAAAACCACTGGAGCCGAACGATCAAAACAAACGCGCACGGCGAGGAACGTCGAGCGTGGACCGTGAAGGAACTACAGACACAGCGTGGATGAACGGTGACGATGAGTGCAGACGATATCAGAAAGAGGCGGGAAAACGAACTGAAAATCAGACGAAAACAGAGGCGCTCATTTCGACGTTGAGAACGTACTGCGCTGGTCGCGTTTTCCGCACTGATCCGAGTCGAGACGCTAAACACTACATGGCATTGCGTAACCGTAGCAACGCTACCAAATAAAGTCATATCCTGGCTTGAAATTCGGCCTCGTAGCTTGGGCGGCGCGATCTATGGTCGGGGGGGTCTGAGGGTTTCTGAGAACCCCCAGACCCGATACTGCCTCGGTCTGCGCACCCGCTTAGCATTTCGTGAGGCCTACCAGCTGGCAGCGGGCAATTCCGAGCAGCCTCGTATATCAATCTGTCAAATGAACGACATACACGCTAACGGAAAATTCCGACGCGAGCCTGGCCCGCTACTCGCTCAAGCGCCTGCTGCCCGATCAGTTTGAGCAGTCCTAAGGGTTTTCGGTACACACTAACAAAACATGTCAAGCTATCGCCAGTCAGCTTTAATTATTCGCTGCCCTTTCACAAAAAAAAAAAAAAAAAAAAAGCGGTGTGGGAAAAGTGTGTAAAGTCTGTTTACAGACATTGCCCGGTTCAACTGGCACAATCCAAACAATCCTCTCGGTTGTCCAGTCAAGGTGTAATGAAAGTTCTGGTTGCTGTCGTGTCACTAATGGGATCCCAGAAAGTATCTAGCTTCTTCGCTGGTTCAGGGCAAATGAACCACCTGGTTGATCGAGACGAATTCAGTATGTGAAAGAAACAGTGCTTCACGCAAGACGCGGACAGACTAGTGTCGTACATAAAATTTTGCTGCACAAAATACTAATGACAGCATTAAAACAGTAAAAAGCAAATCGAAAGAAAAGGTGATCAGCTGTTTGCCCAGTCTCTCTCTCTGCATAAAATGTGAAATTTAAGGCTGAATAAACATTAGCAAGGTTACGTTACAATGTTTCCCCATCCGTTTCAATGTGCAACTGAACATGGACGATACACTCCCTTTCGCCGCATCACAGAACTGCCACCAGACGGAACCGCCTCACCAGGAGCCGTAATAAGCCAGAAAAAGCGCGTCCAATTAGCTCTAGAGCTTTTCTAAAGCAACGTTGATCGTAAAAATCTCCGTGCCCCCCACGTAAACACCCCTCCACCTATGCTCGGAAAGCCGCATCTATCGGTACGACAGCTGGCAGCGCAGTTTCTCACTCATGTCACACCTGTGCCTGGCCACCTATCCATCTAGCACAAATTTCAAAAGGTCTCCACAAATCCCTTTGAATCAAGAACAATGGTAAGCGGCGAAAGGAAAATTAAAATGAAATCGACTACGGTAGGTTTGTCTGCTCAAACAACGCAGCATTTAAGAGCCTCCAAGCTGCAGGAAAAATTTCAGACGGCCATACCGCTCCACCAACGGTCGAGGAACAAGCGCAGAAGAAAGCCAAGAAAGGCTAGCGTGCATCACTTCGCACATGTGCACGGCCAACGCACCCGAAAGCCCCCAAATCAAGACGCCGTGTTCAGACGCGCTATAAAAAGCCAGAGTGACGTCCCCACAGCTGGCACTTCCCGAGTCCCTTCAACTGCTCCTTCCTCGTCGGTCAGAAAGCCCGCCCGGGACAAGAGGGGACTGACAGATTATGCGGCGGCACCTCGAGCACCGGGACACATTCTCACGCCTACGAAAACGGCCCAATTTCTCTCCTTTTTGAAAGCATGCATGCCACTTCGCGTCCTTGCAGCGACGACAATCTCCAATCGGTGTGTGGGGATGGAATTTTCTGGAAAACAACGCAAAAGAGCCCCGAGATATCTCTAGGGTAGACGCGCATACAAACGACACCCCGTTCCAAGCTGGCGTCCACGGTACAGAAATTATGTTTCCAATCTATCTCCAATTCTAAAGCACAGGATGCCGTCCCATGCTCATGTGCACTAGAAGCAGATGGTAGATGCTTGAAAGCATGCATGCTGGTCTGTAGCAGAAAGCAAGCTTACCTTCAGCATGGCCCTTGGTCCCAGGCAAGTTCGGATGACATCCGCAACTGCCTAAACACATGAAACAAATGCAGGAATCATGAGCACCCGGACACAAAACGTGGCTGTAAATGAACGAGATACAGGGTGCAACCATAAGGACCAACATATTTGACACACCTCGCAAAATTCAAATTCTAAACGTGCATATATCAAATTGGGCACGCAAATTTATTTCGCAAGAAGTTTTAAGTCTAATTATTTTTTGAGTCAAAGCAAAATTGGAGGCCGTGCGCTTTCTATGTCCTATACCGGCCTGTTTGTCGTCTGCACACTGGTCTATGAGCTCGCTCCCTGGAGGCTTGTAAGCGCAAGAATGCTAAGAACCAAGAGTAGAGGCATGCGATAAAAGAGATATTGAATTCTAATAACGAAATACATGAACAACGATCACCTGGGAGCAGGCTCACCGTATGCACGACCGCCGTTTTAGCTACATTGTTATTATCTTACTACCCAAAAAAAAAAAAGACATAAAACTGGTGTCGAATTTAACATCAAATTTCAGGTATGTAGTTTGGAATTCGAATGTTGCAAATGTGTCGGTCCCGAAGGCCGCACCCTGTACCAAGCTTGCAAAAACATACACTTGCCGAGGGCAATTCAGACATCCGCGAAGCCATCACCAGACCCCGAAAGGTCCTCCGGCGGAAACCGCGAATGTTTCATGGAAGCGATATCATCACAATCACCCTTTCATCGGCAAGACATTCAAATCTCGGTGAGATTCCATTGCGGACCGACGGTCCGGCACAGGGAATCGAACCCTCGACTACCACACTGCGACGGTGACGCCTCAAACCTCTGCACCATTACCGCAACACCACCGCTGTAATCTTTACGTGTTACTTTTATTCGCGATATATCTTTACGAGTCGATACCCCGCCATAGCATAGTGTCGGGGAGTTTTTCTTTCATTCTTGTCGTATAATACGCGATCTTCCATATTCCCCATAATCACTTGCCATGCTTTTTCAGTTTGTATACACAGAAATAATTTTAAAAAAAGTTATTAGCGTCTGCTCGCCTCGCGGACCAATTGTTAGTTTTTCTTAGCAGTGTTTTCCTTTTATGGGCATCGTGGAGACTCTGCGCGACCGCGCCGAAGTCCATTCACAAAGACAGGGTCAGTCGGTACCTCGATCTCCTCCTGGCTCTAGCAATACAAACCTCATATCTCGAGACAAGACGACTCTCTAATCACCAACATATCGTCGCGGCGCGTAAAGACTGCGAAGAACGGAGCGTTTTAAAAGCCACCTACACGTGTTTGGACCGAAGGCGTCTTTGTATGACGGCTCGCCACATCAGAATGAAGAGTTAAGCCTAGTCGACGCCGACAGGTGAGCACCGGTGCGGCTCGCCAGGTGTCTAAATTCGCCCGAAAAGGCTGCCCGTCGTTCGGAACGCGTTCTTGCGACCGTCAGACACGAGTGTACCGACTCCAACTATCAGTCTACGACGCGAAAATCGAACAAAACTTGTCACGCCGCGAGCTTACCTTAGCCGCTCGAACATTCTCGATCTGAACCTTCCGCCCGGACTCTCGCTTGGTATTCTGGCCTGAAACGTGAGAGGATATAATAATATGAGTAGATCCATTCGCATTTCTGAAACGCGTCGACAAATAACGGTTTATAACTCACTTAGAACGAGAATCGGAACTTGCCCACGGCCCATCATCTTGGAAACACGTTTTTGGAGCAGGCCGATCTCAAAAGCACTCAGAAAAACGACGGAAAGAACGGTGGCCCCACCCCGCCACCTACGGAGACAAACTCGAGTTATTTGCGCGCGATTGGCGTGGACTAAACCAGATGACGCCACGATACACCCCTGGGGTGTTGGGTGGCGCCCTTCCATAATTAAAAAGCACACTATCCTGCTTCCGATCGTAGCGCCATCTACCGCGTCCTCGGCTAAGCGTGTTGCGCGCGATTGGCGTGGACTAAACCAGATGACGCCACGATACACACTTAGGCTGTTGGGTGGCGCCCTGCCGTGGTCGGAAAGCACACTATTTTGTTTCCGATTGTAGCGCTATCTACCGCGTCCTCGGCTAAGCGTGGTGCGTCCAGCGCTGCGGCGGTTCTCCGCGCACTTCGCGACTTGGTGTGTTGCAGCAGCGCGCAATGGGCCAACGGAAAACAACGCATAGCGAGCGGATACCTCGGCGGCGGTGCGTCCCAAACTCGATGCCATGACTGCGGTATCGTGACCCCGGGGCAAAGTGTCGTGACCCCTCCCTGACCCCATCCGCACACGTCCCGTTCGAATGGAACCCGGTAAGCAGCGCAGTGGACCGCTTTGCCTCAATACACGAATCCGCGTAGCACACTGGACGCGATATAAAGACCACACCGTAGTTTTTTTTGTAGCCTGTGGTCGTTCGGACGAGTCCGACTCTTCGGTACGACGTCTTCACGGTTTACGCGAGAGGGAACGTGACAAACCGATAAAAAATAAAACGAAACTCTGAATTTTGGTCAGATCACCTGACCAAAAACACCTGCGTACATAGTGTAAAAAAACCTAGCACAGCCGGTATCGAATTAAAACGGGGCTTTAAAACGGCGAAATGATATTTACCCCACAACAAGACAATGGGAAACGTGCAACGTTGCAGATCAAACTAACTAGAAAAATTAACCGTCCGTATAGAATTGAACTTTAGAGCGTGGGCAGTATTTTGTTGTCACGGTAAATTTCTTTTTTTGTTTACCTTTCGAGTCATTTTTACTTTTAATCTTTTCATTTAAAAATTTTGCGCTGCCATTTTTTTTTTTTTTTGATTTCTCATTTTAGCATTTTTTGCAGGTGTTTGCTAGTGTTTGTTTACCAGTGCGCTCATTATTCAAGCGTCCTTATCAGACGGGCGAAGATATGTGCATACGAACCCAAACGTGTTTAATGCGCGTCACATATTTATCGGGCGTTGTTGCTGTTTTTTTGTTTGTTTGGTTCTTAAACGGTCACATTTTTATATTTAGTTTTCTATACGCCTCTATCTGCGGGTCGGGGGCAGCATATATGGCGTCCTAAATAATCTAGTTCGCCACGCCCAACAAGCACAACAACAACAACAACAGCAACAACAACAACAACAAGGAGACCCGTGAAATTTTGGGGCGAAACTCGGTGAGGTTAGGAAACGCGACTCTCTCTCCGAGAGGGCTGTGCCGGAAGTAAACGCGATCTGCGCAGAGTCGGAGGACAACAGCCCACACGTGGTCACGTGGTCTCCCGGCCAGATGTGAACGCTAAACCGCTTGACCTTATCCTTACGTTTTTTCCCACTGGCCTTCAAGATGATTCCGGATGAACGCCGATCCCACGGCGCTCACCTAGAATGGTTACAAAACGGTTTTTAATTTATTAAAAAAAAAAAAACAAAAAAACTTACTAAAAAAATAGTTTTGCTTTTGGGTACGTATTTCACTTTGAACCCTTTGAGTGCCCTAGTATACTCTGGCGCGTTCCCGTTTAATTTCGGGTTGCTCCCTGCCCGCCGGGCTGACATTTGGGTTTTTTTTTTTTTAAGCGTAGCTGCATTTCATTGAAAACAATGATATTTAGCTTGGTCTGTCACTTTTTAGTGACAAAATGTTCTTCTCTCTTTTTTCTTTTCTTTTTTTTTTTTCTCGTTTAGGCGTTGTTTTCGGTATGTTCTTTGGTGTTAGAGAATAGTGAATCTATACGACGTTCCGCCTGGCTCTTCGTGGCGAACGACGAGAGATGGCCCATGAACTCGGGTATTCCACCGCTGTGAAGACAAGCAGCCTGCCACCGTGTCTCGAAAAGTAAAATACGAGAAATATGTCATAGGTCAGAAGCGTGCAGACAATATCAGTTAACGTTTTGCCCATAAAATAGTGTGTCTTTTACGGATAAATATTCTTCACAAAGCATGCCTGCAGTGTTACCAGGACAAAAAAAAAAAAAAAAAAAAGTAAGAAAAAACTTTGCCGATTCGTAATTTTCAGTGTGTTTTATGCACACATCATCGAACTTGTGGTCGCCACTGATGATATAAGTAGCCAGGGTCAGAACTCGTGACGTCGCGGCCAGGGGCACGTCCTGGTTATGACGTCACGGAGGGAAGAGGGCGCCACCGGAACATCTCGGCGCTGACCATGTCGTCAGCAGAACCGAGATTTTCTTGTTGAGTCACTAGTCGAATGATAAAAAAGAGAACAGCGGAAATAATCTTGATGAAAATAATCCCTGGAGAAGGGGAACAAGAGGGACAAAGGACAAACACAAATCTCCAAACACAGCTAGGTGACTGGTGAGCGACCGAAAAAATCCGCCTGGTCCGGGTATCGAACCCGGGACCTCTCCATTACAGGTGGAGCGCTCTACCGACTGAGCTAACCAGGGGTTAGACGTCGGTAGAGCAAACGGGTTTTATCAGCTGCCACCAGTCTAACACCAACAAGGGTGAAGCTTGCAATTTCACCCTTGTTGGTGTTACCACCGCCACTCGAGTACGAAGTGTATGAAGAAGTGTATTAAAAGTACACTTAAGTATACTGTACTTCAAGTGCACTCGCCCCCCTAAAAGTACAAAATTTGTTTTACTTTTGACCGAGGGACGGTTGCATTCAAATTTGAAATGAGTGACGGATTATCCAGGCTCCGGTGAGATCACGTGTTCGTTGCTAAACCCTCTCCCTTTCTTCTTCTCGAGGCGCACAAAATCGCGGATTTGGGAATGAACCAAGAAAAAACACACTTAATAATTATTTATTTATTTTTTTTTAGAGAAGGAAAAATCCATAAAATTCCGAGGCCACAGAGAAAATTCGATCTTCACTCTCGGGATCCATTCCAGAAACTCGAATAGAGAAACGGCCAGGAATGGCAGCAGAGTCCCTCCGATAACAGCTGCGTGTTTGGCATTTCTTCCGTTCGTTTGTTTACCTCGCCTTTACCCATGCCGCGTGTTTTTCGGGCTCCCAAAGTCGGCCTCCGCTGTCCATTTCAGCACTTCCGGTTCATTAACGTGTCTATGACGTATAAAATAACAATAATAAAAAAAGTTCTTTCTTAACTACTTCCTGCTCGCTCGTTTGCGGCTGTGCTATCGCGCCTCCCGCTGCTTCGACGACCAGTCGCGCAAAAGAGCAAGGAAAGAATGCAGAGCGGAATCGGGCAATGTTAGGTTCGTTAAGTGTGGCTTCGCCCCTTTGCACTGGTGCGCCGTAAGGAAGTCTAACGGAGTGTACTCATTGAGAAGCTGGCGTCGCCGCGGTAGTTTGTGCGCTCTAAAAAAAACCCGACGCGGGTCAAAAAAGAAAAAGAAAAGCCGAAAACGAAAAGCCTATTGGTTATTCCTGAGAGCTTGCCTTCGCCGCGGTACTTTGGTGCGTCGTAAGAAAGCCTAACGCGCGACTGGAAGGGGGGCTCGGTGAACTTCCCCCAGGGAGATGACTTTGCCTGATTATTATTTCGAGTTGTGCGGCGAAGACAGAACTGCTAAACGAAGGAGGTTGTTTACGTACATTTTGAAATTGGATTATTTTCCTGGTTATATTTGGCATTTCTCGAATTGATCCCTTTCCATTCGCGTAATTAAGGGCTCGAGGGAACGGTAATAGGTTTAGCGACAACGCCATAATTTGTTTTTAGTTAAATTTGTCTTTCTTTTTTTTTCCGGCTAACAGACGTTGTGACCGGCTAACAGCGCCGGCGATCGTAACAGTTCCGCTCGTTTTTTTGTTTCGTTTCGCGTTGCCTGGGTTTCGTCGCACTAATGGACCTTATATATTGTTTTTAGCAGCTTCATTATTAGCGTATAACGAGTTTCGCCCACGACGAAATGGGTTATATTGGTTGGACCCGTGGAACAGACAAAAAAGAGTGGAGAAAAATACAGGAAGCAATATGCGGATTACGGAACGCACAAACATCTCGCCCGCAAAATATATACGAACGCGGTGTGTTATGTCTGCAATGCGTAATTTTCGCTGTTCCAAACTGGGGGAAAAAAAAAGCGTAATTGAAATTTTGGAAAAGCGCAAAATTTTAGGAGGCAAAACTCCCCCTTGGCTAGTGTGATTCTGAACCAACAGGTGGCGATGGGATCGCCTTTTAGACCTGTACATGAACGCAATAAGTCGCGTATGGTGGCGCTTCGATACGGCGTGGCATTTTTCTTTCTCCTGAATTTGGCATCCCTGGCCGTTCGCTTGTTTCTCGATGCGCGATCTTCCTGTGGAACCGCGGAGCGTCTGCATCACTTCTCGTGCAAAGGAAGCAGTTGTCTACACTAAGAGCTCGCCATAGAGTTATTATAATGTACGCTAGAGGTTCAACTGGCTCTAGTGTCTATGCGAATTCCGAGAGGGAAATTGAAGCAGACAACAACCAGTCAACTTTTGTGTATTCCTATGGGAAAACGCGCGTGCATTTTGTCTCTTCGCCGGAAAATAACATGAATAACTTGTTATTTGGGTCGTGCAGAATAGTATGTACCTTGATTAACATTGTAAAAGTGTAGTTGCTATAGTCAGCGAATTTTGCTTCCTCAGTGAACGATGTTTAGCTTAGCTGTAATTCAGGCCCCAACCTCTGTTCCACAACAACAGGTGTGTGAGAACAAGCGACGATTCTAAGCAAAATAACAATCGAAAGTAATATAGAGTTTGTTCAAGGCTCGTAGCATTCCGGTGACGCTTGTATATTGCTAATATGCCAGTCCTGTCATTGTATGAAAATTCCCCCATCGTGCATCATTACGAGCTGCTAAAAAACTTCGAAACTTAAAAAAACAAAAAAAAAGTAGGTGGGCTATTATTTTTT